ATAGTCAGTCCCTGATCTTGTTCTGACTGATATTGAGCTTCTCCATTGTCTCTTTCCACAGATGTAGTTGATTTGATTCCCGTGTATTTCATCCAGCGAGGTCCACGTGTATAGTCCCCATTTATGTTGTTGAAAAAAGTTATTTCCAGTGAAGAAGTCATGGGTCTTGCAAAATTCTATCATGCGATCTCCAACGTCATTTCTATCACCAAGGCCATATTTTCCAACTACTGATTCTTCTTCGTTTCCAACCACTAGTAATTATCCATGCATCTTGATTGTGTGTTTGATCAATTTCAAACTGCAGAAGTTGGTAAAAATCTTCAATTTCTTCATCTTTGGCCTTAGTGGTTGGTACGTAAATTCAAATAATAGTCGTATTAACTGGTCTTCCTTGTAGGCATATGGATATTAACCTATCACTGACAGAGTTGTACTTCTGGATAAATCTTGAAATGTTTTTTTTGACGATGAACGTGGCACCATTTCTCTTTAATTTGTCATTCCTGACATAGTGGACCATACGGCTGTCAAACTAACTATAAGTTTATTAATATTCTTGTAAGTGTGAAAGTGATGAATTTAACAGTAGGGTATCTTAAAGCCAAAATAAAAAACCAATCCTACCGCTGTCAAGTCAATTCTAACTCATAGCGACCCTACAGGATAGAAGGCCCAAAGGGTTTCCAAGGCTGTAAATCTTTACGAAAGCAGACTGCCTCATCTTTTTCCCCCGGAGTGGCTGATGGGTTCAAACCACCAACCTTGTGGTTAGCAGCCAAGTGCTTTAACCACTATGCCACCAGGGCTCCTTAAAAGCCAAAATAAATGTATAAATTATATTCAGCCATGTGTATTTAGCAATTTTCTAGTCATTTTCATTTTACAGTAGAAAAGGAAGTTGTTAGTAGCAAATCAATTACTGTATAACATGAAGGAATAAACAAAATAAATTGTTTTGTTTCACCCTTCAGCCAAAGATTACATGAGCCCGATAAAACAAAACAAGACTAACTGGGCACACCAGCCCAGGGGTGAGGACGAAAAGGCAGGAGAGGACAGGAAAGCTGGAAATGGGGAACCCAAGGTCAAGAAGGGGAGTGTTTTGACATGTTGTGGGATTGGCAACCAATGTCACAAAACAATATGTGTATTAATTGTTTAATGAGAAGCTAGTTTGTTCTGTAAACCTTCATCTAAAGCACAATTAAAAAAAAAAAAAAAAAAGATAAGCATGATTCCAAGCACTAGAGGGAGGGAAATCTTTATAAATGAAATGTAAGTAAAACAAACAAAGACTAAATTCCAACTGAACTCAAGGAAGTTTTTTGTTTTTAAGCTGCTGGTTTTAGTTAACAAATTGAACTCAAGCATCAACAATATGGGAAGAATTGCATTTGCTCAGATTGGTTCATAAAATCTTTACTGAACATCTGTTAATGTATCAGGCACCGTTATGCTCTAGTATACAGAGGAGACTGACTCATGCCCCCAAAGTAGCCCCTGTAGAGCTGGAGAGACAAAGAATATTTGATAATTATTATGCTATTATGTGATAAGTGGAATAATAAAATAATGGATGCGGTACAGAAGGAGGATGTGATTAGTTTATATCTGTTCAAAGCAACACCAATAAGAACCACTCTCCTTTAAAAGGTATGACTCAAAGGAGCAAACCTAATGTTACCACTCACTGCTTACCTATTGTGCAAAGCACTATGCTAGTTACGGGGGTGCAAAGTCCACTGACACGGGACATCCTCAAGATGTCCAAATTCTCAGCAATATTTCTCCAGCGCAGATCCTTTCAACAGAAAGAAAAGCTTAAATACATTATTCAATAAATTCTTTTAAGTTGTAGACTTGTTGTATCCTTCCTATCTCAGAGATGTCTAATCCAAAAAAAAAAAAGTATTGGACATCTGGGATTTAGTCCTGTTGTTTATTGAGTGTTGATTGCGTGTTTATTGAAAAAAGAAAAATTTCACCTCTCTAAGCTCCATTTTCTCATCTATAAAATAAAAGGTTTGAACTAGATGGTCTCCAAGGTGATTTCCAGCTCTAATAACTTGTGCTATCACTCCAAAAAGTAACTGTTCTATTCTTGTCTTACTCATTAGCTGATTAGCAAATCCTATGTAGAGCAATTTTGAGGGGAACAAAAGAAACCCTACTTGCTCCAAAATGTCTGCTTCTCATGTGTGCTAGCTCACAGTGTCAGCTTATAACTTTGATCCCTGTGAGGCTGAAAATGATTTAGACATATGTTATCAGTTTCAGGGCCCTGAGGTCACCTTTCAGTGAAATAACAGATTAGCACACAAAATAAAGGATATTACTCATGAGTACGGTGCTCCATTAAAAAACCATTTATATGAGACCAAAAGGTCAAAAATTACTCTAAAACAAAGATGAGAAGATAAGGGGGCAGGGAAATTAGAGCACTGGAAAAGGAACAACCAGAACACAATTAAAGAGACAGTTGATAGAGTGTGAAAAATGTAACTAACGTCACTGAACAACTTGTACAGAAATTGTGAAATGGGAACCTAATTTGCTGCGTAAACTTTCACTGAAAACACAATATTATTTTTAAAAATAAATTAATAAGCATAACCCACAGCACCCACCTCAAGGCCTGGCTGTGCAGTTGCTGTTTAATACATGTTGACTTGACTGATGGAGTGGAAGGAAAGAAGGAAGACAACAAAGGCAGTTATCTGATTTACTACAGAAGCAAAAAAAAGTAGCTGCTGTCTTTCAAGCTGAGACGAAAACTAAACTGTCTACTCATTATTATGGTCTAGTGTTTTGTTTTGTTTTTTTTTCAATTTGTTGTTTTAATGATGCTCATGTAATTTGTTAAAAGTAAACAATTCAGTTAAGATAAAAAAAAAAAAAAGCTACCTGATGCCAAATAGCTGGTTAGTAGTCCTATGTATATTCCTTAGAACCCATAAACTGTTTTGGCCTTATATATACAGAGCCATCATCCTAAGTTCTTTTTGAGGAAGAGGCTGTCAGTGGAAGCACAGCGCTCTCCGTGGTTGGAGGCCACCACTCTATGGAGGGCAGCGTGCACTGCAAGGCCTATGCACTGTTGCCCAGGCCAAACTCCAAGTACAAACTAAAGTCCTAGTCAGCTCAGCTGGCGTTTGCGCTGTCATTGCCTAAACCTTAAGCTGTGAAATTCTGCGTCCCCACTTCCCTGAAGAGTCACTTAGGACCCCTGTTAAACTGATGGCTTCCTAGGCCTCGCCCTTAAAGAATCTGATTCAGTGGGCTGGAGATGGGATATCCAATCATTTGTATTTTTAACTAGTACACCAGGTGATTCTTACCATGAAGCCTGGGAAACTAACCACCTTTGTTCCACTCATCCCACGAGAATTAGGGCAGTTATTTCTTTCCAGTGACTTTACTTCTAAACTAACTTTGGAATATGCTGTTGGTTAAACGAGCAAATGCTCGAGTTCCATGAAGAAGAATCCTGGGTCTTATTAATTCTTAAGAGTATATTATTCTGCAGCTTTTAATACTTCCCTTTTCATGATGAGAGCTGGCCTTTAAGAAGACCACAGGACAACCCCACATTTCATGTTCTGGCCATGCCAGGATGATAATCTGAGTATTAGGATTCCAACTCACTCCTTAGAGAGCTAAGGTGACTGTTGCTGACCTCCTCCCCACCAGACAGACTTTGAATGGAAAAAGAAAATCGGGGAGGGCTTTCTTTTCCTTTAACAAGACTCATTGTTAGAAACCGTCCTAGGCTAGGAGCCCTGAGAAAAAATGGGCACAATTGTTTATGTTCACTTTCACCAAGCTGCCAAGTCATCATTATAGTGAGAGGTGGGGGCAAGATTTAGTAAGCTCTTGTAGCTGGTAGCCTGTCTTGTCTCCTACTCTGATTCAAGTCAGGCTCCTCTTGTCAATCGGAGTCAAAGGGATTCTGGTGGGAAAAATAACAGAAAACGATTCTGAAAAGGGGAGGAAGTCTTCAGCACTCTGACCGTATAAAATCTCTCTGGGCCCAAAGATACTGGCTGCTTGGCTGAGGGCCCCTGGGACTTCACAATATTTCCTCCTACATGGAAGCCGCGGAACGCTACAGAAAATAACACACTAACTCCTCCTCCTCAGCTGCGCGCTACGGTCTAGGAGCCCAGGCACAGACCAGACCCTTGCGCAGGCGCACGAGCGCTCGGCGCGGGAGTCCGGCGCTCGGGGGCGGGGCGCGGCCGAGGCGAGGCCGAGTTACTTGAGCCCCGCAACCCTCTCCGCGTCTTCCTTACAAGGACTTGAGCGGAATGGGCACCGCCCCTCGCCAGGCCCTGGAATGTGCGCAAAGGCCAACCCACAGGGCGGACTGAACCATCCTGCCGAGCAAGAAAGGGAGGAAGATTTACATTGTAAGAGTAGGTACGAAAAAGACGGAAACTCAGTAATCGGACCCACGCACCATTATACATGTCCCTTTGTATTCTAAGTCGTCCGCTTCACACTTCCTTCGCGTCCACTCGGCCCGTATCGCCTCGCTGACACTACTGCCACTTCCTCCCTCTCGCCCTTTCGTTAAGTTAGGTCCACTACTTTTGCGGATAATGGTGACCAGCTTCCTTCCGGTTCTCTAAAGGAGACCGGAAGTGTTGAGTTTAAGCGGCTCCCTGGTTAGCAGGAGGGTAGTGATACCGGCAGCAGAGGCAGCTTGGCGGTCGCTGCAGTGCTCTGATTCTCCCAGCTGCGCAGGTAAGAGGTGCTCGCGGTTGGGTGCGCGAGACTTATCCCGGGGGCCCATCCTCGCGGGGTGGCCGGGAGGGCGGCGGCGGGCATTCGGCGCTCGGAGCGCACTTGGGCAGGTGTTCTATCTGGTTCCCGGGTTTCGAGTCCAGGTGCCAGCTCCTTAATCGGTGGCCACGGCAGGAAGCGGCCCAGACGCGAACTTCTCTCCTTTGCCCAAACTTGGAGCTCCGGAAGTGTGGCTTAGTTCGCTGGCGCCCCGAGTTTGGGCGACAGCCGGGACCGGGAAACCCGAGCTTCCTGTCACTGACCCGGGTACTATGTTTAGTTGGTAACGTAAACTTGCCCGATTCAAGAGAGTTTGCGCAAAAACCGTAACCCACTGTTCCCCCGCTGCAGCTGTTGTTGCAGCTGTGTGGCTACGTTTAGTAGGAATAAGCAGTTCAAGTTAGGAACTTCTTCAGCTCAGTATCCGCTTCTGTAATTGGAACTTTTTTTTTTTTTTAAGTGATATTTGGGCAAAGAGAGGCTTGGGGTTTAGTTTGGGGCTTGAGAAAAACTCCAAAATGCAACACCGTGTCCCTTTTGGGTGGGGACTTCGGGCTAAATCAGTTCACGAAATTGTTTCCTTTTAAATTAACTGAGTATGTATGAAAGCATACATCAGTTTTTACAGAACTTTGTCAGTTGAGATTTTGTCTTAAGTGCAGAAAGTTTTATATCTAAAGGTGAAGAAAGCGAACATTTCTTAAAATTACTAGTATTTCATGTTTTGTGATGCTTTTGATAAAACTTAACTTAAAAAAGCTTTTTCTTTTCAAACGTCAGTCTTATTGGCAGGTCAGCCCTGACAACTAATTGCTTTTGTCAAGTGGTGAGAACTTTTTGGGTGTGGCAGTCTGAGAGAACTAAGCCTACCTTCAACCGGAAGTTTGCACAGCAAATGAAAACTTGATTTAAGTTGGAAGGGAAGTACCAACCTGAAATGAACTTTTAAAAATTGTAGTTAGCACCAAAAACAAAAAAAAAAAGTACATTGATTAAATAAGCAGTGGATTTGGGAAACAGCAAATACTATATGATAAGGTATTCTGCAGAGTGTGCCTTTGATTACATTTAAGGGATGGGGGAGTAATATACGCCTTAAGTCTTTTTTAACTGCATTTAGAATAGAGGGAATAAAGTTCAACTCTGCATAGTTTAGGTGTACCTCCAAGACGTGTTACACAATGAAAATATGTATTTGTGAATAGTTTAAACAAGTTCATGAATGTCCGCTTCCTAAAGGATGATTAAAGGAAGCTAGGAACTCAGGTCAAGTGTATAGTATAACTTAGAAAAGATGGGAGTTTTTCATTAAAGTATCGTATCTCACAGGTATTACTTTGAGTATTATGTAGAAAAAGTTTCTAGATTATTTTACATTACCACTTTATAAATGTTAGCCTTTAAGAATCTAACTAGAGCAATCTAATGTTAGTAAATGAAACCATAATATTTAGAGACTCTGAAAAATTTTCTGCTTGCCATTGATGTGTGGGGAAAGCCTCTTTGAGGATCTCTATCTTCTGTTTCTTCACCTCTCTTAATCCAGTCTGACACCCTCCTTAAGTATGATTTGTATCTCTCCTTTGTTATAACTCTTAATGATTCTCTTCCTATCTCATCAAGCTAAAAAAAATCACAAGTTCATTGCCATAGTACCCCCCGCCCCGACTTGAAACAAAATTATGCTCTTTTAGATCTGTAAATCTCCTTGACTGGGCTTTAATCACCTTCTCTTGCATCTGAAATCTGCATATACACCCTCTCCTCACTTATTGATATGGTTAGGTTTCAAAGACCAGGTTATGTGAAATCGGTGTTAATGTGAAAATGGACGAAATGGAGGATGACTGCATCATTACATAACTGCCATATTACATCATTACTTAACTGCCAAACCGCTGAGAATTATGGCCCAACCAAGTTGATACATAACCTTAACCATCAAAGTCAGTGTTACTCTCACCTTGGTGTTCTTTACTGCCAGACATAGGTCGTTAATGTGCAAAATAGTGAGATAGTAGATTTTTACTATTGTCATAAATGCAAAATGTTGGATAATGAGACAGTCGATGATAGGTGAGGAGAGGATGTATTTCGGGGACGCCTGCCCTGCAAGTCTTCCTGCTTTCAAGTTAGCTGTGTTCGACATTCTTGCTGTTATTCCTATGCGTACAGCAAATACCTCTTTTCACCAGTGTCTTTTAATGTTTCAGAAATAAAGACTCGAGACTCTAACTTAGAATGGGGTCAGGATCCTTATAACTAGGAAATATCAGGTGTATGTGAAGGTGATCTTCCTTTCCTAGATAAAGAACGCTTACATTGATGTATAAAACAAAAACCAAACCAAAACCGTTGCCATCAGTCGATGCTGACTCATAGCGACCCTATAGGACACAGTAGAACTGCTGCATAGAGTTTCCAGGGAGCTGCTGACCTTTTGGTTAGCAGCTGCACTCTTAACCACTGCGCCACCAGTAAATTTTATTTTACCTAGGCTTTCTAAACTTTTCAGAGTCGTGCATTTGCTGAAAGCCTGTTATATAAAGAGAGTTAATAGCCTAGTTTGTTTGGGGGAAAGTAAGAATAGCATCAGAACAAAGAGGACAATGATGGTATCAGAATTTATCTGCTCCCTGGGATCACGGCACTGTTTTTGATTTAACTCTGTCTCCACTAGTGTTTATTCCACCCACGCGTTTAGTTGGGCAGGAAAACATAAACCACAATTTCCTCATCCTGGAACAACTGACTGTGAAGCTGAACACTCCCTGTTGCTGAAAGCCTCCGGGTTTCTGGTGGGAGATAGACTCAAGGATCAGAATCCAACTTCCTCGAAAAAGTAAAGGCACAAGTGGTAACTTGCCCAACATTACACTGTCAGTTTTGGTAGAATTAAGGCTAAACTGAACCCCTTTGTTCTAAGGACTGTTTTAGCTTCTAAATGATACAGTACAGGGTTTTGCAAGGTCTTTTTTTTTTTCCTCTGAATCTTTTAGAAGCTCACAATGATCTTTTCTGAACTCAAAGTATTTGATAATCATGGATCCCTTTATGAGTTATTTTTTCATTATTGTCACATATTGTTTTAACTTCAGTCATACCTCTGGAATGAAAACTATGTGACTCGTTTCATAAGCTGAACCAATCATCTCTGTTCTTTATAGTTGCCTCCCCAACTATATTTTAAGCTCCTTGAAGATAGGACCCATGCCTTACATTTCTTAACTCTTTAACAGTATGCAACCCTAATGACATTTGATGCACATTAGTGTGATTAACCTATCATACTAAAGTTTGAAGATTAAGTACTGAATATGCTGAAGAAAAGTTCTATGTGAGAGCACTGTTTGTGCTGACCCCCCCAAAAAAACCTTTATAACGTTTTAAAACTTCTATAACACATTTGCAAATTGAAGAATACATGAATAAAAAGGAAAAGGAAATACATCAAAGTTCAAAAATACATATTATTTTACAACCAAATCAATCCGACAGCAATGGGTTTTACAACCAGAAGTAAGCATTTTTAAAAGGTATCTAGAGGACCCCTACCAAATTTTATAATACGAGATTTTGTAGATTAAAAGGCCAGTTGTGTCAACCATTTGACCTATAATTTTCATCAGTTTCTTTGTTCTTGAGATAACTGGCATTTCTGCATCATTGGGAGAGGACAGTGTTGTCAAACGAAATACTATTTTAAAAAAAACATGCTTTGATTAGCAAAGACGTGACATGTTTAAAAATACTAAAGAGATACGGAACATAAATATGTACCACCCATCTGATCTCAACCACTCACCCCAAGTCCTTGAGTACATTTAAGCAGTTGGGTAATAATAATATTCCTTAACATTTTTTAAACTTCATTTAAATGTTGTTGTTGGTTGCTGTCGAGTTGATTTTCGATTCATGGTGACCCCATGTGTGCAAGGTAGAACTGTTCTGTAGGGTTTTCAAGGCTGCGACCTCTCGGAAGCAGATCACCAGGCCTATCTTCCGAGGCAGCCCTAGGTGGGTTTGAACCACCAACCTTTTGGATTGTAATCCAGCGCTAGGAACTCCTATGTTAGAATAGATGTCAAAAATACAACTCTGCATAGTTTAGGTTATAATGGGGTATGTTGTTGTTAGGTGCCGTTGAGTCGATCCTGACTCATAGCGACCCTGCGTACAACAGAATGAAACACTGCCCTCTGCCCTGCCTGGTCCTGCGCCGTCCTCACAATCGTTGCTATGCTTGAGACCATTGTTGCAGCCACTATGTCAGTCCATCTTGTTGAGGGTCTTCCTCTTTTTCACTGACCCTCTGTTTTACCAAACATAATGTTCTCCAGGGACTGGTTTCTCCTGATAAAATGTCCGAAGTACATAAGACGAAGTCTCACTGTTCTCCCTTCTAAGGAGCATTCTGTGATATACCACCCTAGAGGGTGTTGCAGAATGAAATACGTGTTCATTAACGGTTTAGAAAAGTTCATGAAGGGCAGCCTCCTAAATGGTGAATAAAGGAAACTAGGAACATGGGAAGAAGTATATATCATAAATTCTGAGGCCATGTAAGGTGTATCTCCCCAGCAACACACTCCAGTGCACAGTCAAAGATTGCTATATTGGACGGATTGGAATTTGTGATCACTCTTTGTGGAATTTCTTATAAAATCTGAAAACAGATTTAGCTTAAAAAAAAAAAAACCTGAGGCAGAGCTTTTTTTAATTATTTCCATAATTGAATTAGTCTTTGTGATAGGGTATAATCCAGGTAAAGAATGTAAGAAATAGCTTTTTAAACTCGTATGAAACATTGTATTGAAAGGGTCACTTTGTAGGGCTGAGATCTAGGTAGTAGTTCATTCTTTGCAGTCCACAGATTTATTTTTAGAGCAAGGGCATAGTGTTTTGCTACATCATAGCTAAATGTTTTCAGAACGTAGGCTTTAAAATTGTTATCCTGGTCACAGAGTGAAATCAGTAGTGCCTATTTTAGACCTGCTTGAAAGAATATAACTAGTACAGTGTCACACTTGCTGGTGTGAGGTTTTGCAGACTACCTTCTCCAACTCTGAAGAATGGTATGGTAAAATTTTGTTATCTGATCACTATGGGATTTTAAACTTCAGACAGATTTGCATAGTCTCTTAAAGATTGAGCATTCAAAGAAAAATTGCCTTTTCATTTTAGGTTTTTTTTTAGACATTATTTTTAACTTAAATTTTACAAGGATAAATTGAGATTATTAGAGAGCGGGGGTAGTTTTCATACCTCTGAAGACATTTTCTAAACAGGTTTTTTTTTTTTTTTAAACTAAATTTCTCTAAAAACTGTTGTGCTCTGATTTCTGTTTAGAGGACTTAGTCATTCCAAGTGATTTAGTGTGACTATATGCAAGAAACTGTTTTGAATAGAGTGGAAATATCTATAAAACTTAATTATAGATTAATTAACTTCAGCGTTTTCTATACTTTTCAGTTACGCTTTCAATATATGTCTTTTTTTAACTACTTGGATTCCAGAAGTGAGGGTACAACAAGAAATGTTAGTGGAAAATGGAAGAATGATATTTAATCATAGAGATTAGGAGATGGAGACCTGCCCCATCTGGCAGTCTGCCTGTCTACTTCTTCATCTTGCTCTCCACCATAGAATGGGGCAGTTAGTTTAGGCTAGCGCTGCAGCGTGCTGGACCTGTTGAATTTGAAGATGAATGAATTAGTATTCTTCAACACCCCAGAATGCTGAAGTGTAGAAGTGGCATTCCTTCCCTGAGTACCTAAATTTTTTTGTTTTTTGTTCTTTTATTGTTATTAAACCAGTAATAAGTCAGTTGTTATTAGGCTATAAGCAGTATTGGGAATATATAATCTTGATATGCTGTGAACCTGGAATTAATGTGGGCTGTGGTGTGGAATTTGAAGTTAGTGATGGATTGTTTATAAAACATCACAACTGCTCGGGGTAAGTGAACTTAAAGCATGAGTCTGGTTTTTCTCTTTAGTAGCCTTGTCCAATTAGTAATTGTTTCCATCAGTTGAGAGAAATTTTTGGCAACTGATAATGTCCTGCTGAATAGGTTTTAGATGCATGTCTCTCTAATTAGCTCAAACGTATTAGAAAGCTGGTTCAGTGTATTTTGTTAGCCATTATTTTGATTTCTACTTAGGTAATCTTAAATGTTGACTTCGTTTTTCTTGTGTTTTCTTTCCTAATTAGGATTTAACCACCACCATGTCGAGCAAAAGAGCAAAGACCAAGACCACCAAGAAGCGCCCTCAGCGTGCAACATCCAATGTGTTTGCCATGTTTGACCAGTCACAGATTCAGGAGTTCAAAGAGGCCTTCAACATGATTGATCAGAATAGAGATGGCTTCATCGACAAGGAAGATTTGCATGATATGCTTGCCTCCCTGGGTAATAATAAGTTTTAATATTAATATATTAGCTAGAATTTATATAATACCTTTTATGTTTATTTCACAAGCCTTAAAGCTTTGTGAAGCAAGTCTAAGATTCAAAAACGGTCTGGAGCAGTGTTCCCCAAAGTGTGGTCCTTTGATCACTACAGATTCCTGGCTCTATCTCAGGATTGGCTGGGCACTGTGTTGAAAACACTGATCTTGATTATCAAAACCTTTTTCTTTTCTGACATCCAGTGGAATAGCAGCCTCTTGATACAGGGCTCTATTCATTGAGAAGACTTTCTTCCCCAAATAATTTTATTGTTATGAATGCAGACAGCAGACTGTACAAATGATAGTCCTTCCAAAGTCGTTACTGTAATTAATAACTGGTGTGTATTGTAATTAAAGTTATAGCTTCTTTTTTGTTTAGGGAAGAATCCAACTGATGAGTATCTGGATGCCATGATGAATGAGGCTCCAGGTCCCATCAATTTCACCATGTTCCTCACCATGTTTGGGGAGAAGCTGAACGGGACAGATCCGGAAGATGTCATCAGAAATGCGTTTGCTTGCTTTGATGAAGAAGCAACAGGTAAGTCAGAGATAACCTTTAATTACAAAGTGATTTAATTTTTCGCTGTGGTAACTAAAATACACGATAACTTGAAATATGGTGATATAACACCCTCGGGTTTATACCACACCTGTTGTGTCTTGGACAGGATTCTTCTTCAGCATGGCGATCACTCATTTCAGGCCCTTACCTATTTAGGAGTAGTTTATAAGTCAGTAAGTTGTATATAAAACCTCTTTGGAGGGTACATTATGCCTTCAATGTTAGCTCCACAAGGGTTAGGCTCTCAGTAAATGTGGGTTGAATAAATAACTTTTACCAGAGCAACCTTGGATAAAGTGTAATTGCTGTTGTCTATGACCCCAGGGTCTGTAGGGTCACTGTGAGTCAGAAACCAACTCAACAGTAACGGGTTTGGTGTTTTTGGTTGGGTGACTCCACTACAGTCCTTTTGTTTACAAGGTATCTGTCAGCTCTAAAATTATTTAAATCTGATTTCTAACCTCATTCTAAAATAAACAAAGCAGAGCTCAGACTCTGGAATAAAACCACCTGATTTCAAATAGCTATTCGGCTACATACTAGTTGTGTAATTTGGGGCAAGTTAATTTCTCTGAGACTCTGCTTTCTTGTTTGCAGAGTTAACTCTTAAAAAAAAAAAAAAAAAGTTAGCTGCATAAATGTCTGATCCTTTGGTAGAAATGTATATGAGGAAACATAGTATTTTTCTAAAACTCTCCATGGCATGGCTAACTCTTTAGAAAAGGAAGGTACACAGCCTTTGGTTGCCCGCATCCTTGCACTGCTCTGATGCTGGGTGGTTGTCAGGCTGATAGAAGCATAGTCTCCACATTTGGGCTTCCAAGGCTCTCCACAATATGGCCTTGTTTTGCCTTTTCAGATATCCACCCTCTCCTCCTGCGTAGTCTGTCCTAATTCTCCATCATGTCTGCCTCTGTGCCTTCATCCTCATACCACCGTCACCCACCTCATTTTAAAATCCAAATTCTTGACAGTATATCTGGAAGAGGTGGGGTAGGGGATAGAGTAATCAGAGGTAACTTACTTTTTTTCTCCCCAATACACTTCTGAATTGCTTGACTTTTTTACTGTGAGCAGGTGTTATTTAACCGGAGGGAATAAAGCCATGAAAGAATAAAATATCTTTTCCGTTCTTCAGACTCATCTCAGTGGCCACATCCTTCATGGTGTCTTACCTGGGCTTTCATGCTGTTGTCTCCTGGCTCCCAGGAAAATGAAAAGCCTCTCCCTTCTTCCCACCTCCAAAGTGTTCTGTTGTATCTCTCTCCTGGCACATATGCTATTTGGCCGTATGTTTTAGTTGTGTACTTATTCCCAATTATCACAATCCATCTCTCCCCCCCAAATAATGACTCTGTGTCTTAGAAAGTAGCACCTACCACAGTCTTTTGCACATTATAAATGGTTAGTATATGTGGTGGTTGAATGGCTTGGCTGGAGATAAGGATTTCTTTCTATAAGCTACAATTACAGGATTTGGGGGAAAATTTTGTTTATTTTTTTAAATATAGGATTGAATTAACATAAAAACCCACAAATCTTTAATTTGTTTTGTGAACTGACTTTGTGCTTTAAACTTATTTTAGAGAAACTGTATTATCAGTGTATTAGCTTAATTTCATTATTCATAATTATTCAAATAAATACTCAGGCTTTTCTGTTTTTACTTTATGAATTTCAAAATCTCTGTGCTTGTTATTTATATCCTTAGTATAATACTTTAGCAGCTCTTGACCCTGGTTGCACGTTAGAATTACTGGGGGAGCCTTTTAAAAGTATCAGTGCCAGATAACAAATCAGGGGTGGCACCTGGGCATTTTCTGTAAGCTCCCTGGGTGATTCTGAGATGCTGTCAGGTTTTATGAGAACCCTGGTATCAAAAGTTGAGAGTCAAAAGCACGCTGTATCCCCAGTGCCTAGCACGGTGTCTGCTGCATACCAGTATTTGATGCTCAAATATTTATTCAGTGTTTTTGCGCATCTTGGGCCTGGTCTTATTTGTTATTAAATCTGAATTAGATTTGTTAAGACTATTAGAAATCTCATGTTACAAATGAGAAAACTAAAATCGGAAGAAGTGCCTGAAATAAAATAGCTTATTAAAACCAGACCTCAGAACGCTAGTGTTCTTTCCACTGCGGCACTTTATTGATTGTGGAATGATACTGGTTTCAGTGTGGCAGAAAACTGTTACTTGCTTGTAGAATAGGTGTGACCATTCATGCAACATTAAGGAACTATGGGACTTAGGTTGCTTAAGCATACTTTATTGTTCTTCTTTAGGCACAGGTGTTGCCCCTATTATCAAAAGATCAGGAGGTAGATATGGATTTAGCTGATAGAGCAGAGTAGTGCCCCTCACAGCCTGGCATTTTCTTAGGCAACTGACTGCTTGAAGCTGGCTTCAGCATGTGGAAACCCAGCATTCATGTATTTACGTTTTTATAGTTTTTCACCTATAGGGCGTGCTTAGTCAAGATATTCCTTGTAATTAATCCTCAGAGTGGTATGTATTCTGATCCCCAGTTCTGTTCTTTAGGCACCATCCAGGAAGATTACCTGAGAGAGCTGCTGACAACCATGGGAGATCGGTTTACGGACGAGGAAGTGGATGAGCTATACAGAGAAGCACCTATTGACAAAAAGGGGAATTTCAATTACATCGAGTTCACGCGCATCCTTAAACATGGAGCAAAAGACAAGGATGACTGAACAAACTTCAGATTCCGCCACACGTTCCCTGTTGCCACTTTGGGTATTTCTGAGACTTTCTCTTAGAGCCTGTTGCATGCCCTTAGCTTTACAGCTTCTGCCTTTTTGTTGTATTTATTCTCAGCCATTTTGGGCACATACATCTCTATAATCAGACTGGAAATGGGACTTTTTTTTAAGTTGAAGTAAAATAGAACTGGGAGAAAGATCATTGCCTTATCACAGCCTAAGGAAAATATTCTCAGATTTTTCTGATCTACTGGATTTTTACATTTTTGGTAATAAAAACTTTAAAAATAAACATTGTGACCCAAGTCACTTAATGATAATTATTTTTGTCATTTTCAGAATAGAAAAAGAGGGTACTTTAACTTCCCAGCTCCTCCCACCCCCAAATAACTGCAGCCTACAAAGAATCTACATATTTTCTCAAAGTTACTCACTGATTTTTTCCTGAACCATAATTAAACTCTTTGATGAAAAGCTTTCTTGTTTAAAACTTCTTATTTACCAAAATTGGCTTTTCCTCCACCAGCTTCATCTTCCAAAGGTGGACGAGGCAGATCCTAGAAAGTGATGTGGTTGTTGGCCACCTCTCCGTTACTCAGTTCTGTCTCCTCTGCCCCTACTCGTCTTCCCCCTCCTGGAGAAATTCATTTTTAACTACCCTAACCGGGTTTCCTGTGCCTTGTCTTCCAACTTTTTTAAAAATAATTTCCTGTGAAATTTGCATGTGTGTATGATAGCTTTAATAGTTTTAAATTCTTCAGTTTGACATACCCGCCAACATTTCCCCCTTATGTGTTCTAAGCTTTTGTACATTATTTCATGTTGTTTAAAATTAGACCAGGCCACTGAATATAATTTTAATTAGTCCTAATTTTAAAAATATTTTAGCCCCAAGGGTTCTGTGGAATGCTTCTACCTAAAAGATTTTTTTTTTTTTAAGTGTATTTCAAAGTATTGGAAATACAATACAGTATTATTTTTTTTAATTGTATATAGTTTTCTTTAACACAACAATCCCTATTGGAATACTGTAATTGTTTATGCAGAGAGTACACGTGAGTCCATGTATGAATTTTGGACACTCCTGACCTGCCCACAATCAAAATAGCTGAAGCTACATGCCTGAGAAAATGAGGTCATTATTTCAATCCTAAAAATAATTTCTGCTATTTACAGAAATACAGGACTATTTCAGAGTTACTCAGGGAGTGGCAGATGATTTCATTCTCTTTGGGCTTCAAAAATCTCATTCTCAGGAATAGTTTCATGAGTTTAAGAAAGATCTTGAAACATGAAAAAAAATTGATTGCAAAGAGTTGACAACCTAATATGAGTAATTGACAATTACTCTAATAGCTTCAGGTTTTCTGTTAATGTTAACAAGACTATCCTTGGACAAAATTATTACCTCGTTCGACAAACAATTACTGGATACCCTCTGGGAAGTGGGCCTTTGCGTTCCACAGGATAGGTAAGCTAGATCCTTTAGCTTGGTGTTTTAGCAATCTAGTGCTGCTCTAACAGAAATACCACAAGTGGATGGCTTTAACAAAGAGAAGTTTATTCTCAGTCCTGTAGGCTACAAGTCCAAATTCAGGGCATCAGTTCCAGGAGCAGGCTCTCTGTCTCTGTCGGCTCTGGAGGAAGGTCCTTGTGATGCATCAGTCTTCCCTTGGTCTGGGAGCATTTCAGCGCAGGAACCTCTGGTCCAAAGGGTGCAGTCTGCTCCCGGCACTGCTTTCTTGGTGGTATGAGGTTCCCATGTGTCTCTGCTCGCTTCTCTCTTTTACATCTCAAAAGAGATTGCATTAAGACACTAATCAGTATAACCTCATCACAGGGATAGAATTTACAACACATAAGAAGATCGCATATTGTAGTGATAGAGTTTACAACACATAAGGAAATCACATCAGATTACACAATCATACAACACTGGGAATCATAACCCAGCCAAGCTGACAGATATTTTGGGGGGACACAACTCAATCCATGACACCTGGTGAGGCCAGCTTCATAGAAGGAGTAGAAGAACCAGTAACAGGATTCCCCTTCAAGACTAGAATCTTCATACCTGCCTTAATTCTTTGCCTTTTATGAACTAGATTTCATTATGTGGTTTAAACAAAGTACTTTTTCTAGCCTGTGGACATGATCCTAAAATTTGGTTTCAATTGAATTTCCATTTCAGCTGAAAAAATTATCACCTCTGCTTTCCTAACAAATCTCTAGTGAAGAAAGGAGAGCTGCATATTTCTACTACCAAAAAAATGGTCTGTACTGAAATTTTCTCTGGCAGTACCCATCCCCATTTCAGATGACTACGTATGGAAACAGCCTGCTAGGAACAGTGGATGGTCTCCCCTGAATGAAAAAAGTCTCCTCACTTAGCAGTAGTCTCTGCTTAGTAACTGGGTTTTGTTTTTCCATCTGATTGCCAATAAAAAGCCAATAGCATTTACTTGTGGGTTTGACTGAAAAACCAGTCTCTAAAAACAGTCTCCATGATGAAAGTCATACTTGAAACAATCCTTTTCAAAAGTTCTGATGAAACCATCCAAGTAGGGGGGTAGCATCCTTATCCATTAATTTATTGTCATTGAGACTCTGTTGCCCAAATTTTATTTGATCAGGTGGCCCGTGACTGGGTGAGAGCAGGAATTGATGAATGCTAATGGGAAAAAAGGGACGAAGGGCTGACTATGAGACAAGTAAAGACCAAGTTTAAAGAGGAAAGGCAGCCATTTTCTACAAAGTATGAGGAGAGAAAGAACAGCAAGACAGGTAATACCTAGACTTAGCCATGAGCAGATGTGAGGGGGATCAGATAGAAGATAAAGGGGGATGGAGAGGTAAATAGAGCCACAAAACCAGTGTGTTCAAGGGTGAGGAGGTTAGTCAATAGTGTAAATCACAAAAAGATCGAGTAGGGAAAAGTTTAAATGAGGCCTAGAGAATTGGCAAATCATCGGTCACCTCTGCTAGAGTTGTAAGGTAGAGTTGTCACTGCAGAAGCCAAAGTGCAACACGGCATGGTGGACAATGCCTGTGTTTGGAGTCAGGAAGACATGCATTTAAATCCCATTTTTTGCTTCATCGTGGCTTTATAACCTTAAGCATTTAACCTCTGGACTTACCCGTAAAATGGAAGTAATGCTATTGGTTCATAATAGGAATGTAATCTATTAATATATGAAGCTGCATTTTTGGGATTAACAGCAGCATGGGTTTTGGAGCCAGACTTGGTTGAGCTTGAATTCCATTATTTGACTAGCTTTATGACCTTGGGCAGGTCACCCTTGTCAGTTTCCTCACCTGTAAAATGGGGACAGTACCCTCCAAGTTTGTTGTGAAAATTAGAAACGTGAAAGGTAAAGGGTCTGGCACATAGTGGTTATTCATATAGTAGTTATTCTCCTTCTGTTTACCTGTGGGGTCATGAAGTTTGGCAGTGAAGGGAAGCTTTAAGAGAAGGCAGGATCCAAGGGCATGTCTTTAAAAGTAGAGAGTGGAGCCTGTTTGTAGGCAGAGGGGAAGGAGACGAACTGGAAGAAAATGGAAACAATGAACCACGCCAAGGAGACAGGAAGAGACAGAACCTAAATCACGTTACAGGGTTATCCTTAGAAAAAGAGAGATACCTCTCCCTCTGAAAAGAGTGAAGGTCAGGTGAAGATAGGAGTTTAGTGGTAGTTGGAGATTAAGTAAAAGACTGAGATTAGAAAAGTTTATTGATAGTAAATTATTCCAAAATAGAATTTTGTTATATTGAAGAGTTATGGTATCAGTTGGCCTGGCACCTAGGAGATACCCAAATAGTTTTAGATTTCCTGAGTAAGTACAATATGACAAACCTTGTGTGGTTCATTTGGTCCTCTTTAAGCGTACAATTTATTTCCCTGTAACCTGATTTTCTCTCTGCTGCCATTAAAAGGGTTGCTGGAGCTAAGCCCACACTGAAGAAATGCTGCCCAGCTCCTCCAGTGTGGCTTATCCTGTTTCCACTTGCTCTTGCAACATCAAGTCCCTGTGTCCTTTCATTCTTACAGGCTTGCTCAAATAGCAGGAGTCATGACTTTTCTGCAATATTTAGCCGATGAATATACAGTTTGTTCTTTAGTATTTGTTAAATCATGTTCTGGCATAGTCACTTTGTTTTGTTTTAGTTTTGGGTACAGTAGTCCCCGATTCACAACAG